GGACAGGATTGACAGAATTGAGTTTTGTGTTCACAAAATTGACTTTCATGAGACAGAATTGAGTTTTGTGCACAAAAGTGAGTTTTGTGAGACAGAATTGAGTTTTGTTAGACAAAACTGAGTTTTAATTGTCCCACAAAACTCATTTTTGTCAAGTTTATAGGTACAAAACTGGATTTTGTTGACAAAATTGGGCCCTGTCCTGCATGGCGCCCCGTATTTTATAGCCTATAGTATTTCACGATAGGTGATCACATGATCACGAGCACTGTGCACATACGTACGGCTTATAGGAACACTGCGGCCCTTTCTTTTTTCTGCACATATATGCTCTTTGAAGTGCATATCCGTCAGCGTCTTCTGTGGAAATACCGTAACTGCTATGTCATTGAACCTAAAAGGACAACAAATGATTCTCTGTTTAAGATTAGGACTCTGTTATGCAGTAAGCTAGGTTATGGCAACGCTATGCTGATTGTTTACGCCTTTCATTAAACTCATGCAACTCACGTGGCAGTCATCTCACACGCCATGTCCACCTGTAATTCCGGGTGGTTCCATTCGTTAGCGGAGGGATTGGATTTTTTGGATACCAATCGGTGAATGTGCGACTCACATTGACTTTCGTTGGTGACCAAACTTACTACTATCTTAGCTCGTGGTCCATAACCTACCAACTGACGAGAGAGAATATGTTTAGTGTAGGTACACAAGCTTTCCGACTCACCGGGTCACAAATATTTTATGAGACTAATACAGTCAACCTCGCTTAATTCGTCATCACTTTATTCGTAGAATGACCTAATTCGTACAAAAACATGTGGTCCCAATATTTCTCTTCTTTATTCCCTTTAATTTCCGTTGTATAATTCGTATTCTGTAATTCGTAATTCGTACAAAATTCTCTAGTCCAATTAACATTATTCAATTCAAAATAACATGTGTAATTTGTAGGGGATGTTTGTTTATGCAAGCAACATTTTATCTGAACCGACAATCGCCTGTAGATCGCGCAACTGAGTTTACACGAGTTGTTGCTGTGTGCACTGATTGTTTCATTCGCATTGTTCGCTTGGACGCAGTGTGTTTTTTTCAGCTCGCGTGGAAACAGTTGCGTCTGTTTACCTAGGTACATCTGATGTCACGCACCTTGACACTAACATACTCCTTTTTCTTCTGGTCCCCATTCATTCTCTCAGCCTCTAGGGTT